GTAAGTCACAAAGTCCCTAGGGAGAGCAGAAAGTAAAGTGAAACATAGCTTTAGGGAAAAATTCCTGATAATGAACTGATTAAAGAAACTCAAAGTTGAAATAGCTAAAGAAAAGAGAAATTGAGAAATAAAAATGCTGAGAGAATGGAAAGAAAATGAGGCATGAGTATGTAATGTATTGTGATAATAACAGAACAAACACAATTTTGAACTGTGCTGGTGTAGCCATATACAACAGAGGATGATTTGTCTGTCCTTGCACAGGCATTGTATGCTGTAGCATTCATCTTTTGCCGCTTTGTTACCAAAGCTGTGCTGACAAATTTGAAGAAATACAGGGAAGATGGAGAACAACTACTAGAGAAAAACTAGTGAAATAGTATTGCTTAAACACCCCAAAACCCACCCCTTACACCCAAGTCTGAATCTTTGTCACATCAAAGCCTGGCGCTTAGCTTCTCCTCTTCCTCTTTTGGTTCTGTGCTGTAATGAAGCAGTTTCTACCTCTGCCACTCAAATTCATGTGAGAAGAGCTCAGGGTCTGTCTCTGCAAGGAGTTGAAGATCTGTACTCCATGCAGATGGCACTAAATGTGATTAATAGCTAAAATTTGTTTCCTACCCGTGTGATTTCTAGTGTGGAAATAATTTTGATCCCATTTTAAAATTATACTGGAAAGACCAAAAAAGTGGTCCGTGTTGTCTCCTAAGTCCATGATCATTATCTATAACAAATCGACTGAGGCATTTTACAGTAAAATGTATATGATTCCAGAAGCAATTGGCAATGTGAAACCTGTGTTTTAGAGAGGTGTGTTTTTCTGTAAAGAAGAGTAAAAACCTAAAGAGCTTTCTGAACTCAAGAATAGGTCAACACAGGCATTAAAGTGGAACATGGATGAGAAGGCAGAGTTTTAGCATTCTCTTATGTATACAGGACATGAGAGAGAGACTAAATAAAGAACCTTTGTTCTGTTCTAGGTAATAAAGTTAAATAAAGTTACTAGTTTTCTGAGATACAAACCCAAACATTGTTAAACCAAATACAAAGAAATTAATAAAGCTGAAGTTTGACAATAGGTAAATACTTGGTTTCCTGAATTTTTAAGTGTCATCATGGAGCAGATTACAATTTCAGACAGATACAAATGAGAAGCAAATAAATATAAATCAGGATCTTTAGAATAACTGAGCTCAAGGTTTTATACAAACACTTTGATGTTTAAAAGGCTCCTAAGGCTATTTACAAGCTCTGGAAAGATTTATCACTGAAAAATGGCAGCTGTGATGAGGGTCTGTATTTTATTCAAGGAGGAATAAATTACATGTGAGAAACTCAGTCTCTATTCACTCTGTATTACATCATGATATGGCTGGGGTTACCTTAACATAGTTGCAGATGATACTCTAGCAAATAATGTTTTGGTTTTAGTAAAGTATTGCATGGGAATTTCCTTCTGTTTCAAATTCTTTAATTTGGAAGTGTGACGATCCTGTGATTTCATCAGAACTTTCTCAGCTAGCAAAGTTGCAAGCAGTTTTCTTCTCACTGCAGAGAGGTATTGCCTAGAAACCAGCACTATACAGAAGCAGATTTGAGGTCATAAATGCGTACTTGAGTGAAGTTTCTTTGCAACTGCAAACAAAAGTGCTTTACTTAATTGAGTCTCTTTTGTGTGTGCTTACCTCTTAGCCTGTGCATAAACCTCCTTTGTAAGGCAGCAAAGTTAATACAAATAGTTAGGTGCTTTCCTGGACTGGTATCCCGAGCATTGTAGAGCCAACATTTTTAACTGTTTTGAAGCATTAATCACAAATCTCTAAAAATAGATATAAGGGGAAAGATGGAAAGTGAATGTACTTTTTATGTGCAACCTGTTGTCAAATTCTGACTTTCTGTTCATACCTTTTGTACTTCCTGGAATTAGATTGGTCTCAAGCAAAGGGCTTGCTGTGTGCTGCCCATCTAAGGTTGAAATGTTGCCATGTCATTTTAAATCTTGATTAACACTCATGACACAATCTGTTTAGCAATGCTGTGAGGTTTACGTATTCTTTATGCTGAGATCATTGGTGTCCATAAGCATACTTGTACTTTTCTTGTGTTTTGCTTATATTCTGACTGTCACTTCATACATTTGTTTTGTGTAATATCTGTACCTGCCTCTTATTTTTCCTTAATCTGAAATTTGAATTCTTATGAAAGTTCTTGACTGAGCATGTCTTTTATGTGTTATGTCAAATTTACGCTTATACTGCAATACTTGCTGTAATCAAACAAATTTGTCTCTGACTACAAATGCTTATTCAAATTGTTGTTTCTGAAGCATTTACTATACAACACTTACTCAGAGATTGTTGTGGTATCAAGTGATAAACATCAGGTTTTCCCCTGGAAAACCAAATTCAAAGAACAAGTTCTTTGTATTACATATTCGCATAGTAGTACGAGACACATAAAAGAACCATTACCTAATATTCTTCTAAACAGAAGGTTGACTGCATTGTCAAAGACTGCTGGTGAGTAATTGCAGGTAGTGTTGCCAGATTGTGACTAACTGGGTACAAAATTTTAGATTAAATCATTTACAAACTAGTAATGAGTTTTCAATGCAGCTTTTTTCCCTGTATTCTAAAATACTTAAAATGGACTTCATTTTATATGTGGACAAAGTATATCTGTATTTATTTGTAGCAAATGAAAAATGGTCTCTTACCCTCTTAAATGCTATTTTTTGTGTTTGGGGATGACAGCATCATTCAGAATGAACAAAAAGAAATGGATTATCAGATTCCACAGAGGAGAATAAAGGATACTTAAGCACAAGATGTTTTTATTTTCATAATAACTTCTCATTGTTGTATTTTGTATACTTTCTCAGAAGGCTGTATTTTTCTTCTGTGAATATGGGGTCAATGGTGTAGAATTTGTGTAATTACTATGATACTTGTGCAATATATTTTTTTTCATTGTAGAATTCTTATACATGTGACAAGAGAACATGTCTAGTAGGAAATAGTGATGCAGATGAAAGGCTTGCAGTAGTATTTTCAATGTTTTTATTTTTGTGAAGAGAAGTTTATTCAAAATTTCAGATGGTATAGGCTGTGTGAGTTTTTAAGGTGTGCTCTGAACTTGTTTACCCACATTCATTCCTACTTTTCCTCAACTGCCTTTGTTTCTGAACTGCCACTGGGCACTTAGGCATACTACATTTAACTTTGAACTGGTTAAACATTGATTTGCAGGGTAAATAGCAGGTCTTGGCTTTATTTACCAAATATAAATATCAGGGTATTATCAACCCCATGGGTGCATAGCTAGGGGGTCCCAGGTATATCTCCTAGTTTGAGGGTACAGCTCTCCTAATTCAATTAAGAATTATGTTTGAAATAGGAAAGAAAGACTCCAGTCTTCCATGTTGTGTAGTCTTGCTCTTTCTCTTTAAGATCAAAGTTCTGTACGTCAGGAACCTGCAGTTAGTGCTTTTGGCCATAGTCATCTCTTAATACTACAAGGTGACAGTAAGTAGAAAGAAGAATCAGAAATTTGATAGAAATTCTGCTTGGAAATTAATCAGAAATCAAAAAATAATGTTGTGTGGGAGAAAGAAGGAAAACACTTCCTGTCTGGGTTAGTCTAGTGTTTTTAGGAAAATTTCCTGCGCAAATCCAGCCAAATCTTCTAGTCATAATATGGGATGGAGTGTGAGGTTTCAGACCCGCTGGGACTTTCAGATAAACATGCTGGAAGAGGATTCCCCATGAAGAGCAATCTCACTGTGACCCAACTGATATTCACGAGGTGCAGCATTTTCTGCCTCTGAGCTTGTGTGTGCCAGAGATTTCCTGTGTGGTCCCAGGATCCAGTGAAGTACCAAAGTTGCAGGGTGTCATTTGGCTCAATTTCAGTGCTGCAGGTGCCCTGCTTTTTGGCTGGGTCTTGTTTAGCACCCATGTCAAACTTCTGTGTAGCGCAGAAGGAGCTGTTCCCATTCTGGAATCTCATTTTATTCTCTTCAAAAAGATATAGCAAGCTGAAATGGTTTGTATTTTGTCTACTATTTTTGCATTTCTTCTTCAATCCATAATTTTGTATCTCTTGTGTGAAAAGGTCTGGGCTTAGAATTTTGCAACTGATTAACACCAGATAAATACCTGGCACAAATCACTTGTATCACCAGTACCCTGGGTGCTAATGCCACTCTTAAGTAGAGCTGTAGTCATAACCTTTCTGCTGGTTGCCACCTCTGGGCTAGAAGAGAGTTCTTCACGCTAGTCATTATCTGCGTACCATAATTATAATAGCCTGTGTACTGTGTCCTTGTGAAGTAATGCGGTAGTCTGGATTTCTTTCTAAGTGAATAAACATTTGTCATGTAAAAATAATGCCTGAGGAAGGCATAAGGAATTAATGCAGCTGAAGAGACAAGGAACACAGAGGGCCGTTCATTCAGAGATCCTGTTGGAGCACAGGTGGGGCATGTTCCAATTTTTCCCTATTTATTATGTATCTTAAGGTATAACTACAAAAAAACCCTCAACCTCTGTGTACTAGTCTAATTATGTTCAGTGGTGATACAGATCTTTCACATGTGAATGCTACTAGCCTAGAGGAAAAATAACTTGAATAGAAAAGCATTGAGAATTATCTGTTCATAGAGTTTTGCTTTGTTAACATCAGAGAATATATGGCCACAGTGTTCAGCTACCTGGTAGGGGCCATACATGAATGGCTCCTAAAGTAATGGCATTTTGTTTGATATGTTTGTCTGTTTTTTTAATTTTTCTCTCTCAGTAATGAATCTTCAGCAGTACTTTATCTATCCAACTTGTTAATTGAATCATGCTTTGATTTAAGATCATTGTAACCTTTATGTTACTCAAGCTGCTTTTTGAGATTGCATTGTGTATATAAGTCTAAAGATAAAAATAAATTGGATGCTGGGTTACAAAGACATATAGAAAAATCCAATCTTTGTTTGTTTTGTTGCATCCTAGGAGGCTTTTCGATGGGAGGTGGAATGGCAATGCATTTAGCATATAGATTTCATCAAGATCTGGCAGGAGTCTTCGCTTTGTCTAGTTTTCTCAATAAAGACTCTGCTGTTTACCAGGTGAGTGTGTGGCAGACTTTACAGAAAAACTGCTTAGCTGAAAGACAAACATGATAATTAAAACTGAGTATAACATGTTTATTCATCTGAGGCAATTGATTAATATTCTAAACTTATGATATTTCCTGGAAATAGATAAGCAGAGTATTAGGGAAGGGAGGCTTTAAAGCTGTCTTTACACGATGTTTTGTTGCTTCTGTGCACAGAGAGTACAATTATTTTTTCAAAGTAAGTCATTATAGAAGGGAGATTAACAAATGAAATGCTTTTCAATATGTCATTAGTTGTTAGAGAGTCCCTGTAAGTGTAACTATTATTTGGAAAAATTGTGATGAATTATAATACTCATGGGCTCCATCTGCTGTCATGAATTTTTTCTATTTCTCTTATTTGGAGAGGGATATAGACCTTAAAGCATACCCTGTCATTTGTCAAGAGTTAGCACATTGGGATTTGAAGTGCAAGGTTTTTTCTAGTATTTCCTTGCTGGCTTTTATAGAGATAATACAATATGACCACTAAATCACAGGTTAATAAATGAAGTGCGATATAAATTGTTACCATATAATTGTAACTATACTTTTAAAATTTATACTGATGTGTCTGACAATGTTTCTTCTCCATCTAGGCCTTGAAAAGAAATGAAAGTGTCCTTCCAGAACTATTTCAGTGTCATGGAACTGCTGATGAACTAGTTCTCTACTCATGGGGTGAAGAGACCAACCAGATGTTAAAGTCACTGGGAGTATCAACATCACTTCATACTTTCCCCAACCTTAATCATGAGTTAAGCAGAACCGAAATAGAAAAACTAAAAACCTGGATTGTAAAGAAATTACCTGCTGAAACAGCAAAGACAAACGAATAAAAGATGACACACCTTCCATATACTTTCTGATTTTTGTGGTTTTAAGGTGATGTGTGGCATGTATGCAAGTGTCCCAGGTGCGTTATATAAGCACAGCTTCAGATAGACGCTGTTATATTCCATAGAGTTCGCTGGAGTGGTGAAATGACGGTGCTGACTATTAACGCTCATTTTATCATACAGGTTTCTTTTTCTGTTTTCTTGTCCAGTTTTTAAATACACATGCACATCAGTCTATGGAAAATATGATACTAAAACCGTTACTAAATAATCAAAACAGTATTCAGGAAGCATTGCTCTGAATTTCTGAGATACGGGGTTTTTTTGTGTGTGTGTATGTTCTAAGATGGAAAAATATACAGCAGTAGGGTTGTCTTTCTAATGTCGTTACAGCAGAAAAAGACCAATTATTAAAATTAAGGACTTGCGGAAATAAATGCATATATTCAAGTTAGTTCACTGAAGGGAACTGTATTGGCTTCAGTTGGATTCTCAGCATGTGGGAATGAATCTGCATCAAAGCAGAGTTGTATGTCACCTCAAAAAATAACTGAGGTTTCTGTTATATTTTTAACAGGCATAAGTAGCTGTGTCTAGCTATTTCACAGGCTCTTGTTATTACCCATTCTCATTGTTTTGTTACTCAGAGATCTAGGTTTATGTGAGTTGCTTGAACCCTGTGTGGTTTATAGTGTAGGTTTAAAAAAAAAAGTGCCATCATGATTGTTAAGATCTATCCTGTTTTTGAAGAAATCATTCCTTGGGCACTATTCCTGTAGAAACTTATTTTTGCCAACAGTTTTATTTTGGCCTGCAAGATCACATTTTAAATTAAAAGATGAGGATACTTGACTCCTCGGTGAATATTTAAGAGTTGTAAATAATTGTGATATAAAGAAAACTTGTATCCCATTATTTTAATGTTGTATGATTCATCTCTGTGTCAGTTTGATAAATTAACTCAGAGTATAAATATCTATTCTTATGTAATTTTAATGCTTTTTTTTTTTATTATTTTCCTCCCTCTGCCCCATTTTCTCCTCCCCAAATTCAGCAATTTTATTAGCATGACAAGGTATTCAGCCTTTTGCCAAAGTCAGTAGATCCAAGTCTCTTGCTTAATCTTCTCCTTCCCCCTTTTCTGAAGAGTGGATTTAGGACACTGTTGTTTGCTCTGTCACAGCAGATTGCTGCCAGTATTGGCCATGACTCCAGCCGTGTCGGCCAACTCCGGGGGACTAAGAGTTTTGTTCGAATCCTCATGGACCAAGTCCTAAGCCAGCTTTTACCTATCTTGAAGAATAAGCAAAGGGGAAAAAATGTCACTGTTGAAGTACAAGGCATGTAATTGGCAGTAGCAAGTAACAACTTCCTGCTGCTAAAAATATTTTGCTTTATTTCATTTTGCTAACATTAGCAAGTCATCAGTCTGTTCTGAAAAACAGGATTTTAAATGGCACATGAAAACTCAGCTATTTGAAACAGTAACTAAACAGCATTTTTTCCTGGTGCCCTAGGCTTCCTAATTACTACATATTAAATTGAAACAGGTGTGTTCAGAGGCAGCTGAGCTAACATTGCCTTGGCCCAACTCTAATTACAATCCTTGACAAGTGAAGTTGTAGCATTTTAGAAATAATACATCATTTTGAGTTTTGCACCGTTTTCTGCTCTTCCTGCTGTTCCTATCAGAAGTCTGTCTGAACCGTTAATTCAAGGTGGTAATTCATTTTGATGACAAGTGCATTCAGATGGGAAAGTGACGGGCTGTTCCTGGCAAGGGGGCTTGTAACAAGGTCAGGGAACAAGGCAAAACAGCTGAAATAAGATCATGGAGGGAACAGAAATTATTACCAAGCCAAACCGCGTTTTTTCAATTGTTTTTGCAGTCTCAATAATTGCAAATACAGTGGATACAGGGCTTGGTTTTGTTCCCTTGGTATAAGCTGAGAAGCAATTACGAAGGTCTGCATTTCATTACGTTCTTAGAAAACAGTGAAGTGCCCAGTTTGCATCTGTTTTCTTCCATCTTCCGCAGCTTGTGAGTGAAATGCCAACTAATCAGGAGATGCACTGTGACATAAAATTGGAAGTCAGTTAGGTATATGCTGTAAAGGGGTCTCAAATCTCAGAGTTTTGAGATCAAGTTGGGGACATCTGAGAACTTCTTGATAGAGTTTTCCTTCAGTTTGCAGGTAGCTACAGTGAGGACAGAGCAACTCGCCTAGCCGTTTTGCTGAGGGTGGTGTCGCTCTGTGTCCCAGATGATGCCTAGCTCAGGTTGGTCAAACGGATTGAAGTTTAGCCCAGAAAAAGTTGGACTGCTGGTTGGTGTTCAGAAACATCCTGAGGCAATATTAGTCCTTGAAGACAGTGGGCCTGCTGTTAGATCTCTAGTCAGATGAAAACTCCAATAGTCAAAACTAGCCCAGCTGCTTGACAGCATGTTTCAGAAGTAATCCAGGTAGGTTTTTGACTGACTGGCCCCTTTTTTACTACACTTAAAAAAAATAATTTTCAGATTGATGCTGGAGCACAGGGCAGGGGTTCATTTGCTAAAAGGGCATCTCAACAATGCTTGTGGCACTGCAGCTCCAGGGATCTACCTGTGATAGCTGGGTGGATTTTGAAGTACTTGGTAGGATCTTTAAGGATCAGAAAGAGTTCCCTTCCGACTAACTGGTTTCACATTGTTAAAACAGAATTACAGCAGCAGGTGCCAGGGCATACAGAGCCTGAACTAGTATGTCCTACCAGTTGTGTCTAGGTTTAGATGAAAAGAATGCACCTGTTTTCAATCATCCCTAATCTCTCACTCTTGTTATCTTTAGGGGTGTTTACATATCATATGAAGATGTTAAGGAGATGAATGCCATATACACTTAGGAGGAGCAAATGCAGAGCTCCATCTCCCTTTTTTTTATTATTTTTTTTGTCCTTTTACATGGGCTTTCTCCTGCTTCTCTCTTACAGATTCAGAAGAGAAAAACATGTTTAAAGATACAGTTCTGTACATCACTTTGAGGAATAAAGTGCAAGATTTCAGTGCCAAGAATGGGTCAGCATCACTTGAGCTACTGAAGATACGAGAACATAAACTAGAGAGAAGGCGGGTCTGTGCTGTGCTAATCCAGAGGAGGCAGGAGCAGTTAGTTGGCATGCTGTTTATGTTCCTACTGTAACTTTTTTTTTTTTATTTTCTTTTTTCAAACTTATAAGAGAGTTTGGCATTTAAGCACGAACTTTTAATACCATTTAAAAACATAACTGAAATAACTGAGCGAGTATATCCATTCAGATTGATGTTACTTCACTGGAGCTTGATATTCTTTTTCTGAAAAACACAATTCAGTAAGCAAAAGAAAACTAGTTTAAATTAAACTTTAATTCTCTTGGGCTCAGTTAGTGTGTTCCATACTGCTTGAGAAACAAAGCACTAGTGTTTGGACTCTTTTTTCTTTTTTTTCTTCTTTCTAATTTTCTGACATGACACATTTGTATTTCACATGTTTGAAATTTGTGTCTAGATCATTACTGTGAATTTGGGTGCCTTCTGAGTAATTAATGTGCTAGTACAGACATATAGAGCCAGAGAACAAATGTGAATAAGGCAGAAATCAGCTGATCAATGTGGGAAGCCAGAAGTCATTGGTAATGTAATTTTGACATTAAGAAGTTCTCTACTTAAATTAATCTCTTCTCATGTTAAAGATTTAACTCTAGCTTTTTTAGTAAATCATCTTTAAAGCCATTTAACAAGTCTCTACAGATGAAGTGAGCCAAGTGGGTGAATGTAACTTGTATTTATAAAGATGAGATCCAGATGGCAAAACACGGAAATGGGAACCTAGTGGGCGATGTTAGAATGAAATTTGCTAAGATACGGATGGAGGAAAGCAATAGGAGTTTACTTCCCAGTTGACACATGTTTTGAGACCGCTGAGAACGTTGGGAGATCTTAGCAGAAAAACCTATTCCATGAGTTTTCCAACTTGAGTCAATCTTCATTTGTGATGCAGCTGGTTAGAGTAAAGAAAGGAAATAACACAATTACCAATTCATGTAGTTTCCTGCTTTTGTTTAGTTGTTTGTTTTCTAAACCACCTTCCATTGTGGGAACCCAATATCACTACTCAGAAGAAACAGCAGCCGGCAGTTCTATTTTCAATACTAGATTGTCTACTTAAATGTTTCTCTGTACATTTCAATGGGATTTAACAGCATCCTGTTCATGTCTTAGTTACAGACTGATTAGTAGCACTCACCCAGCATGTGGGAGACAAGTGCTTTTCCTGTACAGAGCTGTGAGTGAAAATATTTGTCTTTACAAATGAGATCCAGAAGGAAAAGGCAGTGATTTCCCCACCCCCATTCTGTACTTCAGTGGCTACTGTTGGTTAAACATGCGAGACACCTGGGTTTAATTCCTCTGCCCATCCAAGCATGTTCACCTGTGTGCCAGACCTTCAAATATTACCTGTATCGTTAATTTACCTAGTATCTTTTTAGTATTGACTGTATCATCATCCACTAGAACAGAGAAGGTATTCCAGATTTTCCTTTGCTTAGGTGAGTACCTGCAAAAGCGTTATGCTTGTTCTCCATCTCTCTCCTAAGACCTGTTTAACTGTTGCAGTTGACATAGAGAAGACCGAGCACCTGCATCGATCTACTGGTCACTGGTTTGAGTAATTTCCTGCAAGTGTGGGATACTGGCCCACACCCTCTCAGGCAAAGATGGGAAATGGGCTTGTTCCCTGTGTCTTGGGTGAGCACTGTGCTTACTGAACAGCTAGATTAATAAACAAAAAAATTCAGAAGAGCCAGTAGCATGGATCTAATAAGACCCCTTATTCGCCAGGGCACTACTTTAACTAAGCTGTCATCATTGAGATAGGTTTTGTGAGTTTGATTTGAAGTACAGAAATTCCACTCTTGCTAAGCATGTGAGGGCTCTAGACACTGCTTTGTGGAGGGGACACCTGAAATCTTTGGTGTAAATCTATAGGCTCCTTTGA